ATGTGTTCTCTATTGAGTTCCACCCGACAATGACCGAGGAAGAAGAAAACGTCAAAAAACGGAACTCGGGGGGTTGGTGTCCGCACTTGGTTTCGTTCCACTGTAACTTCAAGTCATTTAAATCAAATTTTAATGATACAACCAACACGGTTAGTCCAAGTGATAAGTGGCTTGGCACCATTAAGTGAGGTCTCAAGTTTGAGCCTCAGCATATGCAGAAATCCCCGTTGGGAGACTCACCCAGCATAGCCAGGTGCACGATGCAGGTCGGATCTAAATGTAGTCAGAGCAAACCTCCGGTGAATTGGGTGGGCAACCAAAATTTTTTTTTAATAATACACATTAATCCATATATACTATCTTTGGTCTTTAATATAAGAGTTAGTTGATTAATTTGAGCAAATTAAGAAAATTAGTTATGTTAGTTATTTGTAATAAATAAATATTGTTTTTTCTAAAACATCCTTATTAATTAAATGTATTGGTTAGAATTACCATTATTACAAGGACTACCTTAAAAAAATAAATAAATATGAGAGACAAAGTGGATTAGGATCTTATATTTATGATTAAAATCAAAATCAAACGAGATCTTATATTAAGGACCGGAAGTAGTACTTTAGGAATCATCTCATTAAATTCAATCTAACGATGTACGGTGATAGTGGTCTCTCCACTAAGTGAAGAGAAGCCACTTTCTTCGAACAAAACCATGTTAGCAGCCTTATATCAAGGTTTTTATGTAATAGGGAAAAAATTTTATATTTGGCACGCACAAGAATAAGAACACTATGTTTTACCAAGTGACCTTTAACGTGATAAATATGTGATTGAGAATAATCTGAAGTAAGAAGAATAAAACAACAGCCCCATGAATGATGAACATTGCTTTCCATCCATATCTAGATAAAAAAAATTTACGTAATGGAGATCTATCAAATAAGCACGGCCGTTGTTTATCTTGATTCTTCTTTTTCTTTCCAACCATCCTTGTGCTCCCTCTTGCGATTACGTACATATCATGCTTTTTCATGACATGTACCATAGTTGAAACTCTATAAGCTCAATACACACACACACACACGCACAATCAAGAATAATTGAGTTGAAATCCTCAAGTGCATTGCATACTTATTAATTAGGTTAGATTAAATAAACACATAGCAACCGCCAAAAATTTCCATGAGAGAAGAGATTTGGCGTTTGATTTGACTTTTTTGTAGAGCAGTGAGCACACACACACACACAGCCTTTAAAGTGCGCACTGCCCCTTCCTATGGCTATATTATATGCATTCATAGAGGCCCACACTTCCCACTAACACACACTTTTCAACTCCCACTTTCATATCTCAGCACTAATTAAAGCCTCCCCACTTTGCATAAGGAACCCGCAATTTTATTTTTATTGTTAAAACATGACCATCCAATTATTGATGCTCTTCTCCGCCAAAGTCAAAAGCCCACTCTTTTCTACGGGCTAACTAAAATATAAGTGTAATAATTACTCACATAATGAAATAAAAACAAAGGTCAAAACACCACTTCTCCCTCCTTGATCTTTCATGTATGTAGCGGCAAAATAAGAGGGACGCGATTATCTAATGCAAAGCAATAGTATTCCTCCGGTCTTAAATATAATACTTTTATGTTAGTGTGTATAAGGGTCTTATATATAGGACAGGAGGAGTATATATTTTATACCAACCCCAATCGTCCACTCCCCACTTCTTTTTCTAAATTTTACTGATCTATCAACCCTAATCTTGTACTATATTCATAATATTGGCACCAACTGAGTTTTGATAATTGAATGTTCTTAAGAAAAATTTATTTAATTAATGACACACACACACACACACACACATATATATATATATTGGACATCAAAGAATTGTCTAAACCAAAGTGTTGCCACATCTTCACAGCCCATGGATTAGAGCCAGACTTGTCTAAATCTCGTGCAAGTGAGTGCACGTAAAGGAAGTTACTAAACTAGCTAGTTACCAATGATATGATTTAATTAGCTGTTCTGCATTAACAAATATACTTTTGGGAAGAGAAGTTCTTAGATTGACGAAGGATGAAGAAAAAAAAAGAGGGCCCCCACACGCGTGTCAGGATATTGATCGAATAGCCTACTCTCGTTACTTTCTGACATAACGTTGCACGGATTATTTTTGTGGCTTTAATTTGTACTCAACAAACAAAAGGAAGGGCCCTCTCCTAAAGCACGGATTCTCATCTTCTTGCAAGCCTCACGGCATTACCGTACTGATGATCCATTTTTTCGTTCAACAAAGCAATGAATCAATTTGAGCTAAACCAGAACTAACTAGCTAGAGTTTCATGTGATTTAATTGATGATCACCTAGGGAGCTATATGCAGGTTAGGCTATGGAATAAGCTAAGGTGAATTGACGATGCAGAGCAAGTGGGTGACGGGAAAATTTGTGGTGGTTATTTAAAAGGGGAGCATATTACTACAACGCAGGCAAAGTGAAGTGGAAGTTTAAACATAGTACTACTGGTCATCAGATCAGAAGGAGTACATGAGATCCATATTATGTTCGAAGTTAGATGTATGGGTACTGATGTTCCTATCCATAAAATTGTTGTACTATCTTACTGTAATATACATGTAGATAAACCTAGCTAGCTAGGAATGAAGTTAAGATTCATATATAGCTAAAAATAGGCTTGCCCAAAGTTAAACGTCTTTTTCACGATCGTTCACATAGGAGAGGTGGGGGCTAAGTTATGGTCCTCCATATGTATATCAGTGCACATGGCCTTTTTCCTCTATTGCACCACATAACATGACCCACTCACCAAGGCAACCATCCCTCTCCAAGCCTCACTTTATAATTTCTTTCTCCATTGCTGCTCTTGCTGCTGGGTCGTCCCTTTCTTATACGCACCTACACACCACTTGTCCCCCTCCCATTGCGTGTAACCACAATTTGCTAGATCACCCAAGATAATGTTTTTAATTCATTCCCAGCATTTCATTACCCTCCAACTTTGACTTGATCGTCTCAAACTTTGGTTGTCACTCCACACAAATTAAGTACCATTGATTGATCCTCCATTTTTCCGATGAATCTGTCACAACTTGTCTGAATCTTAATCATCGTTTGCACTATTTCATATATATATATATATATATATATATATAATATAAGCCATATAGCGACTTCCAATATTTTTATCATATTAATAATAGATAAATAAGAGTTCTCATTTCGCGACGACTTTTTGCGGAGACAGAACAGTGATAGCCCGCTAAACTCGTCATTAATTTATAGCCAGAATCATGATTCATTTGGACATTTAAGAAAAGCAACCCTATGTCTCTAGCCATGCCCCTCTAGTTTTCACGAGAGTAACTTTATACAGTTTTGTTTCTTTAAAGGTGAATTCGATAATGTAATCACACAAATATCCTTTGTGCTCATAAAGTACTCGTTACGAGAAGAAAGGTACAATAACAGGATGACATGGTATATTTTTATTGTGGGATTGTATTGTGACGATATAACTCATGGAATTTACATCACACAGTGTTGTTCAATAGCGTTTCAAGCTCGAACAAACAGAAAAGAGAAACCTCAATCTGCTAAGCGCTCCCTCTGTGTGTGTGTGTGTGTGTGTGTGTGATTTATAGTGCCTAGATTCTGAATATAGAGCTTCTCCTAATGAATACGCAGTATGCGCTCTATTGTCATCCCAAAACAATACGAATCTGCGGTATCATCGGTGATGAACCGACGGAAGGGGATTTACAAGAGAATAAAAAGATATGAGTATACCTTCCCTATTCCAACCTCCGGTTCAAGCGGGAGAGAATGGAAGGAAGACGGGAGCGGGGAGCCCAAAAAAGGAAAAAGAAGTGAGGAAAATGAGTGGAAGAAAGAGGAAAAGAGAATAACATCAAGGGAACAGCTTTTTTATTTTTCTGCTTTGTCCCCTCCACTCAGCAACACTAGTTACCGTGCAATTAGGCTCTGTGCGTTATGTTCCTATAGCGTTGCATTGGAGTTGCATCAATGCCTTTTGCTTTTTGTGATTCCGTATATCAGAATTCACCAATGCCGCCAGATGCTTCGATAGTTGAATTTATTCCAAGATTCTCAACATTCATTCGGGAGAAGAAAATCAAATGATCAAGAATTTCACACAGGGGCATTCCCAAATAAGTTCCACTATTCACAATTTATATATTGATATAATATTGACATTGATGCTGGTTAAAACTGATATGAAGCGTCCAACATGATGATAAGTTTATGGAGCAGGCTGACAATGGAAAGAACGGCTAATCGCCCACAAATGGATATCGTCCTACTTTCAGCGGGCATATAAATCCAAGGAGTGTTTCGAGTCTTGTTACAAATTAGTGCTACCTTCGGCTCTTATAAAAGCTCTTAACTAATTTGAGTAGATTAAGAAAACTAATTAAGTTAATTATTTGTAATAAATAAGTGTTATCTTTTCTAAAATATTCTTACTAATCAAGTGTATAGGCTAGAATTACTATTATTTTAAAGACTGTCTTGAGGAAAAAAACATAAATATTAGAGACAAAGTGGATTGAGATCTTATATTTAAGATCAAAATAGAAATCAAACAAACTCTTATATTAAGGATAAGATGTAATATAAACCTTTGTTTAGAGTTTGACCTCGTTTGAATTTGGGCTTATCCTGTTGTTGCTGCTGCTCATCTGAGATAGTTATAATTATTCATTTTTCCATATTTCAAAGTTTCAATTATTATATTGGTTGATTTTTTACTATTTGTTTAAATTAAGATTTTACAACATTTCGACCTATCCAAAACATTATTTTATAAGATTATATGAAAAAGCACTTAGGAGAAGTAAAATCATTATCTGTCGTGACAAAGTAAGAATTCTAAACAGTGTCAAAATAAATCATATCCTTTTGTAAGCACCGAAACCCGCATTGCTGAAGTGCGGCTTTAAAAGGAGTCGAGAGCTTCACAAGAAGGGCATGCTCCAACCAAAATGGATATAGAGAAAGTCTTCCACATGACTGGAGGAATTGGCAACACCAGTTACGCCAAGAATTCCTCCCTTCAGGTTCTCTTTTCTTTCCTTGTGCAAATTTGATCGATTTCCACTCAGTTTCTCACTTTATTTTTCACGCGTGTTTGAATTTGGACAGAAGAAGGAATCTGACAAGGTGAAGCACATAATCATAGATACAGTTGGAGAGCTTTACCTTGCGACCACTCCTAGCAGCTTTGGAATTGCTGACTTGGGCTGTTCCTCAGGACCCAACACTCTCTCCATTATCAAAGACATCTTTGTAGCCATCCAAGGCATCATCAGAAGCCACAAGATCCTCCGGCCGCCCCCTGCTTCTGAGTTCAGAGTCTACCTCAACGACCTTCCCACTAATGACTTCAACTCAATCTTCAAGGCCCTCCCTGACTTCCACAGGCTGCTCAGGCAACACTGCATTCATAGCGCTGATCACGTCCCTTCCATTTTCATGGGAGCTTACCCTGGCTCCTTCTATGGGAGACTCTTCCCTAACACTTGTCTCCACTTTGTCCACTCAGCTCACTGCCTGCACTGGCTTTCGAGGGTAATTAAGCTGACCCCAGACCCATCGGCATAAACAATCTTTAATTTATAAGAGGATTAAGTAAATATGTGTGCTCTTATCCAGGTTCCTGCAGGACTTTATGACGAGCAGGGGAGGCCACTGAACAAGGGAAGCGTTTACATTACAGAATCGAGTCCGGCAGTGGTGGCTGAAGCGTACTACAAGCAATTCCAGGAGGACTTTTCGTTGTTCCTGAGATCAAGATCTGAGGAACTGGTAGCTGGGGGAAGAATGGTGCTCATCTTTCTGGGAAGAAGAGGACCTGCGCATGTTGACAGAGGCAACTCTTTCTTCTGGGAAATCCTCACGCGTTCCTTTGCCGCTCTGGTCTCCAAGGTAGCTACAATACAACCTAAGCATATCACTGTTGATACCAATATATATACATAACTGTTCCTGCAACATGAATTAACTTGTATGGTTGATATGTGTATTGAAGGGAGAAGTAGAAGAGGAGAAGGTGGATTCGTATGATGTGCATTTCTACGCGGCGTCGAGGGAAGAGATAGAAGAACAAGTGAGGAAAGAAGGGTCGTTTGAGTTGGAGAGAATAGAGACGTCGGAGATAGACAGAAAGGAGCAAGTTCAGGGGAGTTATGGCACGGTGGTGGCAAAGACGGTGAGAGCCATACAAGAATCAATGATATCGAATCACTTCGGAGAAGGCATTTTGGATGCTTTGTTTGAGGAGTACGCAACGCTGGTTGACGAAGAAATGGTGAAGCAGGATATCAAGCCTATCAATTTTGTTGTGGTTCTCAAGAAATTATGAACGCGCCTAAAAAGTTCCCAAGTTTTAGTTTTTTTTTTTGCACAGATTACGAGGCTGAATGCTCCGTGCAATAATCTTATTTCATTAATAAAAAAGTCTACGTTATGTTGCAAAATCTAGATTGGTCACTGCTTCAATTTGGTTGACCCTGAACAAAGTTACCAATTACGGTGAAGTAATCGAAAATCCTTTGATACGATCAAAATTTTGTGGAAGTGGTAGAATAATCCGATGTACCGTTTGTGACATGTGAATGATTGTATTTATCACTAGCCCTTCTGCTCTTAAATTTCAAGTTTCTCATGCAGCACTACCAGCATCTACTTTGAATTTTCATTCATTTTTTTTCGATGGGAATTTTTATTTATTTTTAATGGCGCAAAAAAAAAAAATTTGGGTAAGAAGGTTTTGTACCTTTTGTTGCTAAGCTCAAAGGACATAGATTCTCCATTTGATCCCATCCGCGCTTACTAGAACATGTATTGACTAGACGTTTCGCAATGGCAACTCAAGGAAATCAGAACGAGATGTCGCATCATCAATAAACATAATTAAGAATAAACTGTAAAACATTTTTTTTAATTTCATTAAAATTAGGGAAAATGACAATAAAATACCATGTGAATTTCAAAAAGATAAATAAAGCACTTGAATAAGTAAAATGACAAATAGGACACTTAGTACCAATTTGGAATTTAGATTTTTGGCTTAATGACCAAATCGCCCTGTCTAAAAGTGAGAGAAAGCAAACAGAGGAAGACGTTGATGAAACATGAGAAGAAGGAAAGAAGAATGTTAGAAATGCTATTATCTTAGACATTGTTGATTTGGTGGGTTTTGGTTGTGGGAAAGAGGATTTGTAGTAAGAGAGGGAGTGAACCTGTAGGAATACGTGAGTGAGTAGAAGTTGATGGCAGGATTTAGATTATTCATTTTTGTAGCTGCTTCATGGTGAAATAGGAATAGGATTATTGCATTTGAGGGTTTATATTCAATGTTTGGTGAATGATAAAGCAGAAATCAGAAAATAATGGCAAGCAATTACATAATGTAATTGTTGTCATATGCCTGCTGGTTTTTGGTAAATCCCATTACGTGAATAGTAGATTTTATATACATGTAGTTAATTATAAAAGTTAATAGTTCAATGTTTATTGTGATGTACTTCAGGTGCACGTTCACTGAATGATTTATTTATGCTTACAAGTTGCCCTTTCGGTGAAAACATGTTTACAAAACCCATTGAAAAAGTGGTCACTGTAAAGAACCCTCTACCTCAAGACATTTTAACCCATCACAAAACCTCTACTATGGTAGAAAAGGAAATTTGTTAATACGAGCTACCATAGTAGAAGGAAATTTCATATTTTTAGAAATTAACTTTCAAACTCGGGTCAACCCGATAGACGTTGCATGCAACTAAAATAATCCAATCATATTCACTGGGCCTCCGAGGCCGCCGGCCCGGGTAACACATACATCAAAATCAGCCCATCAAAATAGTTTTTCCACCAAGTAAAACATAATCCATAAAGCAATAGCAATGGCCTCCGGCCAACCAAAATAGGGAGATACATTCTATTCAATTTACAACAAGGCCGGGAAATCAAAGATACCAAAAAGCGGTCCTAAATGTGGCAATATAACTACTACTCATACATATACAAATGCTAGAGGCCTAAAGCTAACCCAGCTCAAGCCTCTGCATCTCTTCCCGAAGGTGCTCACCTAGAACCTTCTCCTGAAAACATTGTAAACCACGGGGTGAGACAACGTCCCAGTAACCAACCCTTCCAATACTAGGTACTACTAAATAGGTGCTCGTGAGGTGTCAAGTGGGGCAATTCACAAATAATACATAATGATAGCCACAACAATTTATGCAAGTGAAATGATGCAATCCCATCAACCAAATCCCTCACTTTGGGGGATTTTCAGGAGCCGAACCCGGCCTATCCCTCACTATGGGGGACGTAAGGAGCCATAAAGGCCTATCCCTCACTCTGGGGGACGTAATGAGCCCGAAGGCCTATCCCTCACTATGAGGGACGTAAAGAGCCAACCATCATGCATTAATGGAGGCCTTACCACGTGGTAGTAACAGACAAAACTCTCACCAAATTCCCAATTAATGCATCATGCTCAAATCATAATCAAGAGTAATAATCATTTCATAATTAACCCCATTCAGTGGCATATCTTTCACAATTCCACAATTTCATTCATCATAAGTCCAAACCCCACAAGACGGTTTTCCATTTTTATATACAACATATAGTTCGAACACAATTACTAATTGGAGCACAAAACACAAATCTACTCACAATACCACAGAAGCAAGTACTAAGGATTGGAAAGTGGTTACCTCTCGCCTGAGCAAGGAATAACAATCAACAAAGTGGCCCCGCGCACCACCAAGACTCACAACCGGTCTACACAAGCACACAAACACACAACCAACATATATTAGCATTCAAACTAATAATGTGGCCAAAACAACACTTGGGGACACAAAATTCCTATCTCCCATCAAAACTCTACCCAACTCAAGGGGTATAACTATCAAAACAACACTCCAAAGTCCTCAAAGTCAATTAAAACATCAAGTCTCCTTCCAAGCATCAATTATAGTTCAAACATCAAGGGCCCACTATAGGAATTCAACCTCCAACAACCCATTTGAGCAATTAAGGTCCCAACAACAACAAATCTAAACCGATTAAACATCCAATTAACCCTCCTTAACATAACCCAATTCACAAAACTCAAAAATCAATCTCTACATTATCATCCTCAATCCCAAATCATCCAATTCCATAAACCCTAACTCCAAAACTCAAGATTCTTTAAATCCAAGGAAACTACACTGATTAAATACTTAAACTAACCCAATGCAATCAATTAAACCCAAAACAATCGGTCAAAAACCTCAGTTCAATCACAACTTAGAAAATCTAGGGTTTCACCAAAAATTCTCAGAAATTTCCAAGAAATTCCAGAAAGAAAGAAGATTAGAGGTTAAAATCACTTACTTGAGGTAATGGATCCTTAGAAATGCCTTTCTCAAGCCTCCTCCACGAAACCCTAGCAGAGCTTCTCTCTCCTCCTTCCGATTTTCCAATTTTCGCACATCTGAACCCTCCAGTGATTATATAGAATCGCGACCTTTCGCCGCGGCGAACTAATCCCGAGAGGGATTACTCGCCTGAAAAACCGACTTCGCCGCGGCGAACTCCAAACTTCGCCGCGGCGAAAGCTTCCCGAGAGGAAACTCTCACTCGCCCAGAAGAACTTCGCTGCGGCGTGCCCTTACTTTCGCCGCGGCGAAACCTTCCCGAAAGGGAAGCCTCGCTCACCAAAACAACTTCGCCGCGGCGTCCCCAAGACTTCGCCGCGGCCAAACCTTCCCGAGAAGACAAACCTCAAATCCAACCCAAACACCAAGATCAAGATTAAATCACTAATCTATCCTCAAAATCAACCCAAAAGAGGCTATTAAAACCCGATAAGACTTAGGATGTTACAGTCACTTTCACTATAAAAGTTGTAAATCATATTATGTGTTTTGTTAAATTCAGCGTGAAATTTTATTGGTGGTGAAAAGTAAGTTACTCATTCCCCAAAAATATGTTGCAAAACCTACTAACAAAGCGATCACTTTTACTACAAAAACTGTAAATCCCAGTATATGTTTTGTAAAATTCAATGTGAAATTTTATTGGTTTTTAGAAACAAGTTGTCTATCCCTTGAAAACAGGTTGCAAAAGCCATTTAAGAAGTGGTCATTTTCACTATAAAAGTTGTAAATCTCACTGTGTGTTTTGTAAAATTCAGCGTGAAATTTTATTGATTTTTAGAAACAAGTTGCTCATCCCCTGAAAAGAGGTTGCAAAACCCATTTAAGAAGTGGTCATTTTCACTACAAAAGTTATAAATCTCACTATATGTTTTGTAAAATTCAGCATGGAGTTTTATTGGTTTTTAGAAACAAGTTGCCAATCCCTTGAAAACATGTTGCAAAACCCATTGAAGAAGTGATCATTTTCATTAGAAAAGTTATAAATCTCACTATGTGTTTTGTCAAATTTAGCGTGAAATTTTATTAGTTTTTAGAAACAAGTTGCCCATCTCCTAAAAACAAGTTACAAAACCTATTGAATAAGTGGTCATTTTCACTACGGAAGTGGTAAATCCCAATATATGTTTTGTCAAATTTAGCGTGGAATTTTATTAGTTTTTACAAACAAGTTGTTTATCTCTTGAAAACAGGTTGTAAAACCCATTAACAAAGTGGTCACTTTCACTACGAAAGTTGTAAATCACAATATGTGTTTTGTAAAATTCAGAACAAATGGTTTAATAGTACTAGAAAACCAAACAGCTTCACATTCTCTGAAAATGGTTTTATGCGAAGAACAGAGACAGAACTAAAAAGAGGAATGCTAGGCAATAACATTTTAAGTTGTGAGGACCCATCGAAAATGCTCTATGAAGAATAATATTTAAGCTTCCTATTTGTTTATCACAGTTGATGTTACTTCAGTGACCTCTTTGACGGTGATAATCTCAAGGAGTACAAGTTCTTTCAGACAGAGCAATGTATTAACTTTCATAATTAACTACATGTATAATAAAATCTACCATTCACATAATGGGATTTACCAAAAACCAGCAGGCATATGACAGCAGTTACATTACGTAATTGCTTGCCACTATTTTCTAATTTCTGCTTCTTCATTCACCAAACACTGAATATAAACCCTCAAATGCAATAATCCTGTTCTTATTTCACCATGAAGCAGCCACAAAAATGAATAATCCAAATCTCGTTATCAACTTCTACTCACTCACCTAGTCCTACAAGTTCACTCCCTCTCTTATTACAAATTCTCTTTCCCACAACCAAAACCCACCAAATCAACAATGTCTACAGAATAGTGATGCGGAGGAGTAAGATAATAGCATTTCCAATATTCTTTTTTCCTTCTTTCCATGTTTCATCAACGTCTTTCTCTGTTTGCTTTCTTCTCACTTTCAGACAGGACAATTCGATCATTAGGCCAAAAATCTAAATTCCAAATTAGTACCCAGTGCCCTATTTGTCATTTTGCCTATTCAGGTGCCTTATTTGTCTTTTTGAAATTCACATGGTATTTTGCTGTTATTTTCCCTTAAAATTATTATTTTTCCTGTTTTAAAATTATATGTACGTACTACTCCTTTTCTTTTCTATAAACCATATATGTGCTTTTCTTACAATAACATGTTTTATACTTTCTATTTTAAAGTAGTAACTCTCTCTTAAACTAAATTTATGATTCGCAGTTGAAGGATATTATAATAAAATAAAGAAAAAATCTTTAAAAAATGACTATTGAAATAAAAATTATTACAAAAATATGTTGTCATTTATTTTTTAAGTGTAGTAATTTTTTTTATAAGTATAGTAATCAATATTGATTTAAAATTTTAAAATTTTGAAATTTTTGTTTTAAATTTTTAAAAATTTTAATTAAATACAAGGACGGAATATGCCTTTCTATGTGAAATATTAAAGACAGGCAGATATTAGATATACACAGTTTTTTCTCAATGAGCTGGATAAACACTACAACATTACACCTGCCCATGTTTTTTTTGGGGGGGGTTGTCTATGTGAAATATTGCATCTGTGATTAGTTACAACGGTGGACTGATAACTAACCCAGCTAGAAATTTCTATTTGTTGTCGCAGAGGCAAGCAAAATGAAAAATCTCTCGTTCTTAGTAGGCGGAAGGGATCAAAACCGATTCAACCAGGTATTTGTTGATAACTTATTTTCTTGAGGTGGAAAGAGGATAAAATATAGCAACATAACTCAGGGGACACAATTAACAACCACTCATTAAGTAAATGCCAACATGATTAGATCAGACATATTTTTGTTGCAACAAACTACTTTTCTCCTCTATTTATTATTCGCCGACATTATATGATCATAAACGTAGTCTGGGTATTAGTCACGAATGTTCGTCCATTGAATTTGTCTCACAGAGGTTGTAACCGGCACAAGCAAAAACCTTAATGGCGGCCTCGAACCGAAGCCCCGCCGCCTGCTACACTGTGGAAGCAAGGAATCCCAATGAGATATGGAAAGCTGATGCCGTCATTGACAATCACACCCCGGTTCTGGCTATCCAAATCTCCTTCTGCATCTTCATTACTAACCTTTTCTACGCCATCCTTAGACCCCTTCGTCAACCTCGTATTGTCGCCGAGATTCTTGTGCGTGATGCATGCGTTAATTTTATGAACAAAGAAATGTATTTTATTTCATTGTCGTCCTTGTTTGTTTTGTTGGTGATGCTGATGCGTGTAAATTTATGGGCATGCAGGCTGGGTTGGCTCTGAGCCTTCTGGTTGCGGTGAATGACAATTTAGTGGACATATTTTTGCCTGCCAAAGGAATTCTAAATTTTGAAACATACGCAAATTTGGGGATCATGGGCTACGCCTTCATTAGTGGATTGGAAATGAATTTCGATACCATCTTACAAGTGGGAAAGAATGACACAGGTATTGCCCTTCTCGGTATCATCATTCCGATGGCAATGGGAATGGGCTTCTTTGCTGTGATACAGCGAGTTTACGAAAAGCCTCTTGAAGAAAATAACGGCATATATGTAGGAAAAGAATACCTATTTTGGTGTTTAGCTTTGCCTGTCACGAGTTTTCCTCTGCTTGCTCGAACCCTCACTGATCTCAAGCTTCTTTATACCAGGCTAGGCAAGGCTACCCTAAGAGCAGCCGTGTTTAGCGACACTTATGGTTGGGTTCTTTTTATAGCATTAATTCCATTTTCCAGCGACAGTGCAGTGGGAGCAATCTTGTCGGTGTTGGGTACAGTGATGTTCATCCTTTTCTGCATCTTCGTGCTGCGTCCTCTCATTACAAAATACATTGATCAAAACGCCTACCGCCAGGATACGACGCAGAATAATTCTCCGTTGGCTTTTCTGATCATGGGCGCTTTTGTTTGCTCATATATTACAGATTTGCTCGGCACACACGCCATCGTTGGGTCATTCGTGTATGGACTAATCTTACCTCATGGCAAATTCTCTGACTCGGTGATGGGAATGATAGACAAGTTTACTTCTGGAGCCATATCGCCCCTCTTCTTCTTCAGTGTCGGCTTGACCATGAACTTGACGGTACTTGCACATCAGAAATACTGGCCCTTGATGGTCTTATTTATCCTATTGTTGTCCACTCTAAAAGTTCTAAGCACTTTCATTGCCACCTTCTTCTTTAAATTACCCACCCGAGACAGTATGGGTATGGGACTGCTTCTCAACTCCAAAGGGGCCTTAGCTCTGATAATACTAAACATAGCTTTTGCCAGAAAGGTACGTACATATATACGTGTGTTTTTATTAATCCGTAGGTTAATATTCACAATTGTTAGATACCAAATTAGCTTGCCAGCTCCACTAACCAAATATATGTAACTAATCGACTGTGGTGTATGGACGTGCAGGTTTTGTCTGTGGTGCCCTTTACCATTATGGCGTGCGCGGTTATACTGATGACTATCATGGCGCCTCTTTGCGTTAACTCCATATACAAACCAAGAAAAAGATTCGAGAATTTCAGGCTAAGGACTATCGAAATGCTAAGGAATAACGCGGAGCTTCGAATTCTAAGCTGCGTCCACAATGTTCACCAAGCTACTTGCATGGTCAACCTCCTTAAAGCGTTCAATGCGAACAGAATTTCTCCTTTGCGTGTGTTTGGAGTCCACCTCATTGAACACACTGGAGGTGCAGCTGCGGCCACTGCTCTTTTGGCCAATCACATGGAGCAACCAATCCATTCTAAATCACAAGAGTTAACACTTTCACAGCCAAATTTACAGAACATTGCCAATATCTTCAACACCCTCCGAGAGGAAGATAACACTATCAGAGTCGATAACCTGCATGCCGTGTCTGCTTATGACACCATTTACAAGGATATACACAGCGTTGCGGAGCAAAACCGAACAGCCATGATTCTCCTTCCTTTTCATAGACAACTTGATGGGGTATCAGGTGGTTTAGCAGAGACAACAAACGAAACATACAGAAACATAAATCTCAAGGTTATGCAGGATGCCCCTTGTTCTGTGGCACTCCTTGTCGATCGTGGTCTTGGATTGGTGTCTAAAACCAACTTACACGTAGTGATGCTCTTTGTTGGAGGACCTGATGATCGTGAAGCCTTGGCCGTTGCTTGGAGAATGATTGGGACTGCGAATCCAGCGATCACACTGTCCGTGGTGAGGATTGTTCTGGCTGGTGAAGCTGCAGAGGCGGACATATCAACTAGTGATGATACTAAGCGGCCTTCATCAACAAGAGTGGATGATGATGAGAGGCAACAAGTTTTGGATGAAGAGTATATAGATTCATTCAGATTCAAGGCAATTTATAACAACGATTCTATAACATACTCAGAGGAGGAAGTGCACAATGGCGAGGAGTTAATTGCACTGCTGCAAGAGCTGGACAAAGATGGGGGTGATCTTTACATAGTTGGGCAAGGGAATGGGAGGAACACAATAGTATCTTCGAGTTTCATGGAATGGTGTGACAACGTAGAACTTGGAGTTATTGGGGACATAATTGCCTCTCTTGGTTCAAGTTCCTCATTACTTGTTGTGAAGCAATTCGGATACGAAGAAATGGAGTTGGGGAGGCAAAATCAACATCCCAGATTGACCAGTGTGTCTGAGATGGATATTTTATAAGCATGTTATTAATCAACTCATGAGGTAGACCAATCAAATTAGTGTATTTGAGATGGATATTTTATAAGCATGTTATTATCCAGCTCATGTAAACCAGTCAGACGAGTGTGTCTCGGATGGATATTTTATAAGCATATTATTATCCAACTCATGTAGACCAGTCAGACTAGTGAATCAGCTGTAAATTAGTCTCCTGACTGTTCTAGGAAAAAAATTTTGAAGAGGCCTATCAATCGAGTTGCATTTTTTATTTTGCTTCCCCTCCTAACTAAGTTTTAAGTGATGTCATTTTGAGGTTTAAAAAATAGCAGTCTGTTCAATTTGTGCTCAGAAATTGTGTGTTGTTTAATTATATGTAGTTTATACATAAATATTTTGTTTACTTATAGACCAATGCTTTTTCTAATTCATTTGGATATTACTTTTTCAAGGTTATGTATAATTAACATTTTCATATTTTAAATAAATTAAAAATGATATTTCAAAAAATTAAATTATTCCTATTTAAAGACAATAATTTAGATATCAGACATCTGAACTAAAGGCCTTTTGACTTCGCCCTAATAGTAAATTTACTAGCACGCCCTTAATTATAGCAAAACAACAAATCTCACTTGCAAATTATTACAAAGTTACAAATCAAATCAAGGAATATGAGTATCTAACTACTAGAAGTCATGAAAGCTATTTATCTTCTTTTTATGAATAAACAAATTTTACTTGCAAAATAGTAGTGACAAAGCTACAAATAGGAAAATATGGATATCAAACCACGAAAATGTCATTATATTTTTAACAAGTAACATTCTTCCTTTTCTTTTATAAAAATACGAATTTCACATACAAAAAATTAACAGTTACAAAATTGAAGAGTAAGAAATAAGAGTATTAAGCTATTAAAAATGCCTTTTGTCCTTATTTTCATATTTCAATTCTTTTATTTCTAATACTGAATTAATTCAATATTTTGACCCTTAAATGTAACTCCCTTACTTTGTGTGCGTGTGTGTAAAATGCTTTTATTACAAACATGTCCCCTTTTTGGTAATATGTCCCGAAGGTCAAATGCTAAACCCAATGCCAAATTAGCTCAAAGCCCACAGCAAGTACACACCATTGGGCCTGAGTCTAGTCCAAAACGTTTGTATGTCCCTGTACATGGCTGAAACCATCCTACAAAAATACCCACCAAAGGGCCCTGCTCCATTTACGATCCTATCCCCGTTACCTGAAAAGAGTTTTTCTTGTGTTTAACACAAAACATATAATACTTTTCCTTTTTATTGAAGCTATTTGAACATTTTATTTCTAGGGAATCACTATCCTTTAAAAAAAAATTTCTAAAATTTATTATCCATTGGTTTTGTTGCAGATTTTTATTGAAATAGTATATATGCAATTTAAACACATGACTTTTATATGATTTAAATTATAGAATTTACCGCAGAACATTATTCTTAAACCATCATTGATGCAAGTTATTTTTCCTTTTCCTTACAGTGAATAAAACACGTGTATAGTTTAGATTATTGATAGAAAGTGTTTTAAGTTGAAAAGGTCAGATTAAAGAGAAAAGGAAAAATCTGTGACTCTGTGTTATTAACAGAGGGCGTTTTAAGTTAAAAAGGTGAGATTAAAGAGGAAAGAAGGCCATGAATTATTTACTTAAAATTTAAATAATTTTTTCTCAAATTTCATAGAAAGATAATTTGATGACAGCATTGTATATATCATACCATAAAGCAATCTAATTTAATTTTACTCGTGCATTCAAACAGTGCTCACATATTTTATGTATTTTGGGTCCTTGAAAGTTGAAACTATGACAGTCAATATACAGAGAAATTGAGCCACGTATGAATCACCCGCATTAATTTAAACAATAAATTGAAAAGAGATAAATTTTTATACGAGTCTATAGTATTATCATACCATATCATATTCAAACATAACCGGGTATAATGTGGGGTACCCAGCTACCTCCCTAAATATGACTTTTTTTTTTGGGGGGGTCTCCTCGACCTTTATTTTCCTTTTACTTGCCCCAGCTAGAGTGGGTGGAAATGAAATAGATTTTATTATTGTTGTAAATCGCAGAAAGAAACTTTCCACTTAGCGTGAATGATGAATCGAAACTGATGGAGGGTAAACAAAATGAACGTCATTATCCAAAGAAATTAGGTAAGATTGGAATTATATATAGAGGGGCAAGAACATGGTGAATGGTAGTGAAATGAAAAGCAGGAAAGGTGGAAATAATGTAAAAAGTAGAAAAGGAGTGAGCAATTATTGAGAATAAGAAAATGGAATGAAGAGGCGAAAAGAATAGAAAAATAATAATGGCAGTAATGTTCACCATAGAGGCAACAAACAAACATGCTTGTTTGATTATGGATATCTACATATATATCTTCAACCTCTCACCTTTTGTCTGTTGTTGTATTCTGAAAGCCATAAACTTGGATAGATAAACCCACAGGCCCCACCTTACGGCACCACCCTCTCATTAAAGCCTAAACCCTAACGAGCATTCAATGCTGCACTATATACATATCATCCAAACTTGTCATAAAGCCTAAAGTAGTTCAGTTTCCCTTTATCAATATTCACACTCACGCACTCACTCTATAATTCATATGCACCTAATGAATTGTTGTTTCCCAGCAGCATGAAGCTCATGACCAGCTTATATACAGCATTTCATTAATGTCTTTATAATCAATGAAATGAGCTTCTATAATGTAATAATGTTTCTGAGGAAGAGAAAAAGGCAAATTTTGCACACAACAATTTGAAACTAACAATAACTTGCCTTATTTCCAAAATCATCTTCCATACCCACTAAAGTTATGGCCTTGACTCTTAATTTTATAAAAAGGGTATTTTAACGGTGCTTAATAGAAATTTTACTTATAAATATTTCTTGTTGATTATGGATCATGAAGTATCATTTTCTGCATTATTTTCTTTCTTTGGTCAAATATTGATCGCAAGAGGTGACAGTTGATTTGAAGGGTCAAAGACCAGAACGTGCAATTACGTGTGAATCACTTTGAATCTGCAGGTAAGGGGTCAGTAAGCAAATTTATAATACCCGTATCTCACACACATGGACTCATAAAATTGATTTAATTCAGCTGGGAAATTATTTAATTTGTAGTATCGTACAACACGTAACATAACCTGAGACAGAAAGAGTTGATCCCAAAATGTCAAAATGAAGAATCCAAGATCTATAGTTGAATACGGATGGATCAATGTGGTGTGATTTTGCTCTCTCACAGCTTGAAGGGGCCTTTTCTTACTTGTTCAATCCTATTTTGTGATAGACGCCTAGCTGTCTGTGCACATGCCAGTCTTTCCTCTTCGGTCTATCAAATTTGAATTGAATTTCTTTACCTTTTTAGGTTACCCTTTACCTGTAGTCTCCCCATTTCATATCCTTTTCCTCAAGACAAACAAACAAACATTGGGACTCAACACTGTGACTCACAATCATGTCCCAATGCTTCCCATTACAGGAGGGTCCACTTTCCCTCTGTATTGTCCTGTACCCTCCCCTGTTTTTAGTTCTCCATCTCTCTGCCTTACATAAGATCATTTCCTCTCATCAGTTTATTTGGGTTTATCAAGTACTCTCTTCAACGCTTACATATTCTTACAATTTTGGGTAATTTCCATAGGATCTCCATATACTTGTAATGTAATATCCTTAGACTCACATCAACCATTTTCCCGGCTCAATCAAAAACCCTATCGTTTAAGTCAAGGACATGTACTTGGAGATGATAATGCGTGTGGGTGTCGATGGATGGAGAATCTATAATTTGATTGTACTTTTGTTTGATTGTTGGAACATAATCATGACACGGTCTTGTTTTTATGTAGTTTATTAAGAGAAGTGGGTTTGGAGTGTGGATATTTTGTAATACGACGGGTCCCTCTTCGGCGTAGGCATGCAAGAGCTACTAAAAGTTTTTGTGGACTTGTGTGGAAAAAGGCCTCTCAACGCCCAAAGTTACTGGCTCCATTATTAATCTTCTCAAACTTAAGCGCCTTGATTCCCAGTTTATGGCAAGCAACCGTACGTCAATATCATTGAGAATGGCATCAATCAATACTCCCTCCCTTTCAAATTAATTATACTAATTCGAGATTATGTATAATTTACTATAAAAAAATTGATGATTTAGTGCCTGTTAGCCCCCACTAAACAAAAAAATCGCAACGTGCCAAGACATTAGGCGTCGAGAGGGGAAATGAATGGGGAAGAAATAGGCTCGTGAAGTCAGGAAACATACCTTTATGTAAAATAAAATGTCAGGATGAGAAGAAAACTGACCACTGAGACGGGGATTAGAAAGTAGAAGTGGAAGCAATGATGAGTAGAGATGAAAAGGAGAAGGAAAAGAAGGGCTTTTTTGGGAAGACGGAAAGGTTTGGGATATGCATAAGTATATAATTAAACGCAGGATTAGGAATGAAGATTATGGGGTAGCATAATGAGTGGGACAAAAAGTAAAGTTTGATTTTTTTGGGGGGGGGGGGGGAAGAGAAAGGAGAGGGGTCATTTTGGTTTGACAATGATGATCACATAATTTTACAATGATTGGTGCTTAATTATCCACCGGAGAAGCCTTTTGCCGACGAAAAAGCAGCCCATGGGGACCTCTTGACATTTCCATCTGATGGCCGTGAGCAAAACTAGGCCTCATTCCCTATATCATCAATAATTTCACTACTAAATAATTCAATGCACACCCTCTCATCCACAATGCAAAAAATTTCTAGAAGAATGATTGGCTCAAAAATATAAGTCACTTTAAAAATAATTAATATTTATTTATTAATTTTATTTCTATAATTAATGTTTAAATTTAATTCCTTGTATTTCTCTCTCTCTCTCTTCCACTACAACCTTATTTAACATGAGTGAAGTTGAAAAAAAGTTTAATTGAGAACAAATTTAATAAGTTATCTACTATTTTTTGAGATTGATGAATTTATTAAAGTAACTTATAATATTATGAACATGAAAGAGTATAATACCACTCTCCAAATTAACTTTAAAATTAAGTTCAAATTAGAGTAAGTATGTAATAACCGAAGAAGTATACGGGCAACATGCTTTTGTTTTTTAATTAACTAAACCAAATATTTTTCCCCACATGATCCATAAAAATTACAAATAGGATTAAAGGATAAAAACCTTAGTGCAACTTTTGTGCCAAGTGAAAAGATACAACAATATTAAAAAAATAAAAAAGTATATAAATATTTTATGAAGCTGATCCACGATAGTCACATTATCCATAAATTATGAATCATATAATTTATTATAAATTTAATATTTACAATATTTATATCTCTTATCTTTGTTGTTATAAATTTGTTTTTCATGGAGCGTAACATTATAACCATACTTTCTTGGGGAAATTTCACTGTAGGACCGCAGAAGGCAAATAATTTCAAAGAGCCCCCAAAACTTTCTGAAACCTCACTGCAGGACCAAGGGACCAATCTGATATTAATTTTTAGAGTGAGATTACAATAATACCCCTCCCTTTTTATTTTATTAAAAAATAAATATTTACCGGAGTTACTGTTCCGGCCATCGGAGGTCGGAGGTCCGGCCACCGGTGCTCAGGTGGCCGCCGTCGGGGTCCGGTCACCGGTGGTCGGAACAGTAACTCCGACGGGACCTCCGGTGGCCGGAGTTTTTTTGTTTAAAACAAAGTGGCCAAGGAAGGGTTTGAACCCAGGACCCCTTGGCATACCAAAAGACTTGTAACCACCAAGCCAAGCAACCCATTCAATCATAAAATGCAAATAAAACTACATATAACAAAATAAACGCAACAGTTCAAATGTAAGTGAACAAGTGAAATTAGACGATTTACAAGTAGAATTCAGAAATTTGCAACAAAAGTTAGGCAATTTACAAATAACATAATAGAAGTCATAACCCAAAATGCAAGTGTTTAAGTGCAAATGAGCAAGTAAAATTTGAAGATTTACAATAAAAGTTTATGGATTTACAACCCAATTTGGTAAACACAAGAGAATTCACAACCCAAAATGTAAGTGTTTGAGTGTAAGTGAGCAAGTGAAATTAAATGATTTACAAGTGGAATTCAGCAATTTACAACAAAAATTAGGCAATTTACAAATAACATAATGCAACTCATAATCCCAAATACAAGTGTTTAAGTGTAAATGAGCAAATAAAATTTGAAGATTTACAACAAAAGTTTATAGATTTACAAGTGAAATTCGACAATTTCACTTGTTCATTTGCACTTAAACACTTGCATTTGGGGTTATGACTTCTATTATGTTATTTGTAAATTGCCTAATTTTTGTTGTAAATTTCTAAATTCCACTTGTAAATCGTCTAATTTCACTTGTTCACTTACACTCAAACACTTACATTTTGGGTTGTGAATTCTCTTGTGTTTACCAAATTTGGGTTGTAAATTCATAAAATTTTATTGTAAATCTTCAAATTTCACTTGCTCATTTGCACTTAAACACTTGCATTTGGGGTTATGACTTCTATTATGTTATTTGTAAATTGCCTAATTTTTGTTGTAAATTTCTAAATTCCACTTGTAAATCGTCTAATTTCACTTGTTCACTTACACTCAAACACTTACATTTTGGGTTGTGAATTCTCTTGTGTTTACCAAATTTGGGTTGTAAATTCATAAAATTTTATTGTAAATCTTCAAATTTCACTTGCTCATTTGCACTTAAACACTTGCATTTGGGGTTATGACTTCTATTATGTTATTTGTAAATTGTCTAATTTTTGTTGTAAATTGCTGAATTACACTTGTAAATCATTTAATTTCACTTGCTCACTTACACTCAAACACTTACATTTTGGGTTGTGAATTCTCTTGTGTTTACCAAATTTGGGTTGTAAATCCATAAACTTTTATTGTAAATCTTCAAATTTTACTTGCTCATTTGCACTTAAACACTTGCATTTTGGGTTATGACTTCTATTATGTTATTTGTAAATTGCCTAACTTTTGTTGCAAATTTCTGAATTCTACTTGTAAATCGTCTAATTTCACTTGTTCACTTACATTTGAACTGTTGCGTTTATTTTGTTATATGTAGTTTTATTTGCATTTTATGATTGAATGGGTTGCTTGGCTTGGTGGTTACAAGTCTTTTGGTATGCCAAGGGGTCCTGGGTTCAAACCCTTCCTTGGCCACTTTGTTTTAAACAAAAAAACTCCGGCCACCGGAGGTCCCGTCGGAGTTACTGTTCCGGCCACCGGTGACCGGACCCCGACGGCAGCTACCTGAGCACCGGTGGCCGGACCTCCGACCTCCGATGGCCGGAACAGTAACTCCGGTAAATATTTATTTTTTAATAAAATAAAAAGGGAGGGGTATTATTGTAATCTCACTCTAAAAATTAATATCAGATTGGTCCCTTGGTCCTGCAGTGAGGTTTCAGAAAGTTTTGGGGGCTCTTTGAAATTATTTGCCTTCTGCGGTCCTACAGTGAAATTTCCCCTATTAAATATGAAGGAGTCTAATGATATTTTTGAAATGAAAAGAAAGACGAATTAATATATTTTGGTAGGGAGGTGAAAGAAGAGGGAGAGCAATGGTTGCTTTTTATGTAACTTTCTGTTGATATATTTTAGTAAGTATTCATCAATTGTTTTAGGATGCATGAAAACTTCTAAAATGTAGTTAGAGTAACAATACCATCATTTAATCAAATTGGGAGGCATAATGGCATATGTGCAATAATATCCTGGGCTAATAGTTGGAGAATTTGTGTTTCTCAAATATCTCACGGACTGTACTTTACATTCCATTAATCCCCTCTTACAAATTCTTCCATGCAATATGATCCCAAGTGTTCGTTTTATTCTAGGCAGAGAGCGCATCTTCAATTATTGACTTATGCCTTCCAACACATTCATCCATGTCACTAAATCTTCCATTAACTAATACTCCCCTAGTTCTATTTATAGGACGGAGAGAAAATATATTTTTTTGTCCTATTTATAGGGCACCGAGAAAAATTTATTGTATGGATATACAATTTCACTCTTCATTTATTATTGTGGTGACTTTGTTTATATGAGGTATAATGTATATTAAATAGGGATAAAATTGAAAAGTCATTAAATTTTAAATGAAAGTTAATAAAGTTTAAGGTTTTTTTTTGTCTGTGGAAAATATACTGAAAGTGCTTTATAAATAGGATCAGAGGAGTATTTATCATTCTCCCTATAATGGTCATGTTGCTAAGCCTCACCTTCGCTAACCTCACTAAATCTTCCCTTACTAATAAAACTCGTGATATTATGTATAGGTAATATTGGAGTATTGTAATTTTTTGTGTAAGTTTATAAAAGAAAACAAAAATAAAGAAGAGCATATTATACGTACTTTTGGTTTAACTTTTCTGCACAACCCCTTTTTTTCGTGTTTTTCTATATTGTCGAAATTAACTCTATAATAATTAGACACCAGAGGCAGCAGAAACCAGTAGCCTCCTCGTGATCCCTCCATAAGTGCTGCGCATATATAAGATTCAAAATGTGGGCTGCAGGGCGAGGGAAAATTTTCCCTCCCTTACTAACCAAGCTTTTGCCAGAATTGGGATCACTTCCATCCTCACCATTAATGCGCATATTTAGAAGCCTTTTTATTTACAGAAAAATTAATATAAATTTAAGAGAAAAATGATAAAAATATTATCTTCACATGCTTAATAGATATGCTTTCCGATGCCACTTGAATCAAACGGAGCAACAGCCATTCACGTCGTATGTGGAATACAATTCTATTCCATTACTTTTTTATTCCCTGCATATAATCGAACCTGGAAACAAGTCTCAGACTTAGTTCCCTCTTAATAGCAACAATAATCCAAAGAGAAATTAAAGTATGCCGGCATCGATTCCAGTTCTTTTAGTTTGTTATTAATTAATTGATCAACCAAACCACCTGTCCCTCGGAACATATTCCTCGTAGAAATGGATGGTTCTGTGACTCGTTTTCGATTAGCATGCGTCAATTGGTCGTACTCACACACTTTAGCAAATAAAAACTTGGCGGATGTGAAGATATCGTTTCAGGAACAGAATACAGAAAACGGGCATTGTTAAGAATATTTAATTTCGGTATTCAATTAGATCGAGAAATTAACAGTGTACGATGCAGTGGGGATAGGTGGAAGGCATTAAGATGGAGGAGTAATTGTCTGTCTTACCCCAGGAAAAGAGTGAAAGGGAAAAGGAAAGCAAGTACACCAGATATCTAGATTTCGAACTCTTCATTCTCATTCTCAGTTTCTAGTTTCTATCACTAATTAATTGTAGGCACCCATTTAGCTCTGGTTCTGAATAACAATGGCCAGCGATTCTTCCCTCAGAAATCTCATTTGCTTGGCAATGAATGCCTCTATGGTGCGCTGGAACTCTTCATTGCTCAGGTTATCCTGAGGATACATACTCTCCCGCCCATTTTCCATGTGCTTCTTCTCCGTCTCCGATCGCCGGAGTTTCTGTTGCGTCCGCTCCGGACACTCTTCCTTCAACTTTTCCGACTGAGTCCTCCGGTACACTTTGGCAAAATCAGAATCTAGCCCGGCTTTCGAATCCGTGTCCTTAATGGCGACGGTGTCAGCTTTATCCTGAGACGTACGATCCGTGGAATTGGTCTCGGAGACAATCTCTTTGTCCTGATACACCACCTCCCCTCCCGCGACACGCAAGAGAGGATCAGGATCAGCTTCGGGCGCAGGCGCGGTACGGTGCGCGCTGTTTTTGAGGAGCTCGTGGTAAATTTGGGCGTCGGCATCGGGAGTGGAGCCGGGGCGGGAGGAGCGACCGGATTTAGCGACGAGGGTGGCTATGATGGCGTTGGAGAGGAAGAAGACGAAGAGAGGGCTGGAGAGGAAGAGAGAGAATTGGCGGAGGAGGGAGAGAGCGAAGGGAAGGCGAGGGAGGGTCCAGGAGAGGATGAGCAGAGCGAGGCAGAGTTCGAGAATGCGAAGCGCTTTGGTTAGGGCGGAGAAGAGGTGGTGGGTGGGGATAGGGGTGGCTTTGTGGGGTGGAAGGTTGGGGAAGTTGAAGGAATCCATGGAAGAGAGTAGGATTGCGAAATGGTTTGGAGTGGCAGAGTGGAACACTGTAAAGTAAGGACAGAGTGGGTGTGTGAGAGAGTGGGAGTACTCCAATCCAAAGTCCAGAGACGCCTCAGGGCAGAAGTCCTTCTGCTCTCAGATCCCGCTCTTATTTATAGAACTCCACCTCCGTCTCTCCTCCCTCTTTTCTTCTCACCTCCTTTCAATCATTTGAGTTTGGCTTGATTTACAAGGTTCTACTGGATTATAATCAGATAAAATCATAATTTTCTTGAAAATATATAATAAGCACTTCTTATACACTTTCTGCCCCAAAATCATGCTTATAAATAAATTTCATAAATTTTGTTTTACCTAACACTAATTCAAATACACTTGAAGCATGAGAGTACCAAATTCATATTTTGACCCATTAGTGTATATATATGTATAAGCTTATAATTGGATTGGTTTAAAAAATATTAGCTTCGGTCCTTAATATAAGACCTTGTTTAATTTTTATTTTGGTCCTAAATATAAGACCTCAATCCACTTTATTTTTCATATTTATACAATTTTTCCAAGATAGTCTTTCTACTAATTGTAGTTTTAGCCAACACACTTGATTAGTAAGGATATTATAGGAAATACAACACCTATTTATTACAATAAGCAACTTAACTTATTTTTTTAATCTACTCAAATTAGTTGATTAACTTTTATAATTAAGATCGAAGGTAGTAGTAAATATAAGAAATAAAATGTATTAAGATGATATATTCATGATCAAATTCAATTCCCAACTGAATTTTATATTAGGAACAGGAGATAATAATTTTAGAGGTAAGCTAAACATCCACGTAAGATTGTATGTGACTTTATTTTCTTCCTTTTCTTTTATTTTTTTTAAATGTTTCACCAACTTTTAGATTTTTAGTTGTGTCTGAATTTTATATACACTCCCCTGTCTTATTTGCCCTGCCTGTTTTTTTTCCCCAATAAATAAATAAATGGCATTTTTTGTCTTTAAAGCACAATAAAGGAGAAACCCCAATTTGTTTTATTGTGGAATTAAGAGGTAAGACATGATTGCTGGTTAAAAAAAATTGAAAGATATGATTGCAAGTTAATTACAGACAAAAAAACATTAATACCCCTAAATTTTTCAGATTAAAAAAAAGATAAGAATGAACTTGAAATGGGTTCATTCAAACATTTGTGAATCCTTTTAAGTTTCTAGCATCATTTAAAAATTATTGTGTTGTTATATGTTTTAAAATTTGTGGGTGGTTTCATACTCAGGATATGTAAAGTGTACGGAAAGGTACCAACTCCCCAGTTGCTCTTGCTCGAATGAATATTTAAAAACCAGTGAGCCCTGAATTATTGAACTCTGGGCCTCCTCCCTTGCTGCGACCACGTACCCCGTCTCCTCAGTTGTAACCCCAATTGCTTTTTTAATAAAAAAAAATGTCAAAAATAAGTCCAGATATTTCGATTCAAGCTTGCTGTAATATCCCTCCTAGTGAATAATTTCTTAAGAGATAACGACTATCTAGGAGGCCATCTTTTATATATAGAGTAATATCAACTAGTTTTCACGAGACACACCGATAATATTGCATATGTTGTACGAAACTTTATGGGTGGCAGTTGTTTTTCATGCAATTAATTTTCAAAAAAAAAAATCATTGCATGATTAAAAGAAGGGGGGGTCAAATAACGAGAATTAATTTGAGAGAGAGATAAAAATAATGAGGGAGGTGGGTTATGAATAATTCAACTCCACAGAACCCAAGTACAACTAACAATACACGATTCTGTTGCATTTTATTGAACCCCTCAGAAACAGTACTTTCATCTGCCCCCTTGCACCAGCCCATTCCAACACGCAGCTGAACTCATCATGAAACTAAATCTTGTTCAGTTGTTTTATTTTTGAATTTTAAAAAGAAAGAGATACCAAAAAAATAAAATAAAATAAAATATATTTATATTTATATTAAGTGGAAAAAAATTCAGATATGTAATATGTTAAAACGGGGCAAGGCTCAAATATGAAATAGGAAGCATATATAAGCTCAAGACGGGGATTAATTAGATATGGGTGAAGGGTGATGAGACGCGACGTGGCTTTTCACGTGAGGGGTCCATCTGTCACCGCTCGCCCGCGTGTGTCCGAGCTTTTATGTCACGCCTGGGGGGCCTAGCTTTTTGCATAAACCCCTTATTTTTCTGTGCGGTCTGATATGAAATAAACAAACACAGCATGTGAATTTTAAACGTTGGGATATACAAATGACTTTTTTTTTTTTTTTTTGGGCCAGGCGAGGCGACCCCTACATGTGAATAACATAACATGGTGACTGTTCAGTGTTCACAGTGCTGCCGTTTATTCTTTAGAAATGCCACCCATTGAACCAGCCGGACCTCCCTGGCCGAATCTATATGATCCTCTACCCCAATTTTAGGGCAGCCCTCTCCAGTTGTTCTTGAACAAGCATTAGGAAAAAAAAGAAAAACCACAAGTTTATGTATGTTAGCCTTCATGTTCATGATTTAAGGAATTTTAATTGTAATCGTGACAATGATTTATTTATGGCCCAAGAATCACGACGAAAGAGTGATATCAACCGTACGCGGCCGCACTTGACCTGCCGGTTGCGGCAGCAGGCCGGAAGCTCCTTTTTGTGTTGAAGTACTATAGTAATAATAGAGCAATTATTTTTTTCACGTACATATTTAATTTAATGATCTATCTGTGTCATTTTTTTTATCAATGAGATAAAAAAATTCAACTTATACAGTTGATACCACAGTGATGAATTTATTTCAAATTATTATTTAATAATTATCATATTATAAGACGCGGGCATAGCTCTTCGTTACGCCCTTTATTTCTTCATCTGAGTTTCAATTTTAAGGAAAAAAGGGTACACAAATTAAGAAGACACTATAGTTTGTGTGATGTATAAAAAATAATTTCTTTAATCAGGAGATTAAAAACATAGTGCATATTAAACCATGAAGGGTTGGATAGGCAATTAAATTTTTTTTTTCATAGGAGGTATATTTGAAAATATGCCTTAATTACATATACAAATCCAGATTAATTAAGATTTGCATCTGGAGATAAAAGGAACTGAAAATATGAAGAGACTTGGAGGGTATCAAAATAGAGAAGCAATAGGGAGTTGGGAGTGAATGTTTGACCAAATCAGAAGAAGTAGGAATAGTCCAACACTCCAACATGGCAGAAACCGAGAGACAAAAGACAGTCAATAATGCAGCACCATTGTCCAAGCTCAATCTGGATCCGCTCGTGTTCTTAACTGTATCTGCATGCCTTGTCTTTTTTCCCACTATTTCAGTTTCGTCCCTTGCTTCAATTTAATGACTCACTTTAATCTCCATCCAACTACTAAAACGTTTTATTCACCTCTGTTATCTAAATATTGCATGAATATTTTGCTTCGAAAACAAAATTACATTGTTTGTAACTGACAAAATGAGAATTTTTTTTAATCAAATAAATACAACATTGTGCTAGTACTAATAACATTTAATGAATATTTAACACTACCTCCGGTTGTAATTATAAGACCTCGTTTGTATTTATTTTTTTTATAATTTATAAGATTTTTCTTTTTAGTTGGTTCATGTTTCATAATTTATAAGATTTTACTTTCGGAAAATGCCATGAAAGTATGTTAAAAATTACTCCTCAGATCCTATTTATAAAGCATTTTCAACATATATCACACAGACAAAGAAAAATTTTAAATTGTATTAACTCTTCATTAAAATATAAAAATTTTTCAAATTTACCCATATTTAATATATACTCCTTTAAAAAAAATAACTATTTAGACTATAATAAATAAAGGGCAATATGGTACGTTCATCGTAAAAATTTAATGAAATGACTTATAAATAGAACAAAAAATAACCTTATCTCTCTGTCTGATAAATAGGACAGGAGGAGTACTTCTCTTCATTAAACATGGGGAAAAATTAAAATCATGACTACTTAACTATGTCTCTATTAGAAGTGGTAACACGGGTCAACTTGTGAGTTGTGGGTTAGTTTGTGACAGATTACAGTTTGAAAAGACCTAATGTAATGTGTAGTTTCACTATGGTGGGTTGATAGGTTGGCATGTCAACACGCCAACTATTTTTTTTCAATTTTAAATATTTTTTCTTATATAATATAAAGAAAATATAATGGGATTTTTATCTTTCCTTCAAATACCCTGATTGAAAACATCAAATAAACGATATAGGTATTTTTTTTTTAAATTTTTGAGATAAGATATAAAATATAATAACATAATTATAATAATTAATAAAATTAAAAAAAATACAAAAAAAATTAATGTGCCAATGGGTTAGCAGGCTAACCTGCGATGGGTTGTGAGTTAGGCGGTGCGAGTTAAAAAATTTTGTTCAATAACAACTTAGGCTAACTCGTCATTTTTAGCGAATTGGTGGGTTGCACTCACGAGTCTAATTTATATTACCAACTTTAGTATGTTAATTAAATAAAAATAACATACATTTAAAATGAAGGAAGTATAGTTGGCAAAAAAAAAAAAAAAGAAGTATAAAATGTTTTGGAGAAAATACTCTGCTTAATGACCTTATTCTTTAAAAATGTTGGTCATTGATCAAGTGTGAGTTAAGTAGTGGTCCAATGATTATAGAACATAGAAACTAGCTGTGCGATCAAACTTCACTTCAACTTTCTTCTTAATAATTCACAAGTCGACGTCAGAGCTTCAACAATGATTAATGGCGAAGCTCTGTAGCGTCAGTAATTGCAGAGGAGGAAGCTTTTAGAGAAGGATATTTATATAAATATGCTCAAAATTTTAACTTCATTTAATTTTTTGGGATTTAATTAGCGATTCTTGATTTTGCGGGACTTCACTGGGATTTCAATTTCAAGGGGTGCCACACAGTACCAATACTCATATTCCAAGCAATATACTTATTATAAGCTTTAAATACCTGATTTGCGTAAAATGAAAAATTAGTTTACAATAATAAATAATATGCAAGAAATATAATTTTATTTCTAAGTATATCATCATAATA